AAAAAAAAAAAAAAAAAAAAAAAAAAAAAAAAAAAAAAAAAAAAAAAAAAAAAAAAAAAAAAAATTGGTTTTTGCTCTCCCAGCTCTTCAGAAAAAAGGAAAAGACAAAATATTACTTGGGATTTTGATACCTTTTATGGTTTATCTCCCCTTTTGGGCTGTGGGCTTCATGAAGGCAGTGGTTATATATGATTCCCAAGTAACCACAGTTCCCAGAACGATCTTAAGTATAGAACGTTCCCAACAAATATCCATTGGAAAATGCACCCTATGTGTGTTGAAGGAATGGTGGAATTGGCATCAAAGGGATCTTCGACATTAGCTCTATGGCTAGCAATTCTAAGCGTTTTATAGTCCATCCCAAATGTTCTTTTCTTTTTCTAAATTGCACTGAATCAACAGAGTAGACAGGCTCATTTTCTTCACTTTAAGGAAAGGCTTTATTATTTTTTAGCTAGGGGCCCACCCAAAGTGACCTCTGGCTCTCACAGGAGACCCAGGAGCTCCCAGTTTGAAGCCCATAGCACATTTCCCAGAATACTTGGCACCCTCGCCCGCCTCCTCTGGCAACCAACCAGACAGTCCTGGGAGTTCGATGCCAAGGGAAGGATTCGGAACATCTGTTTTCTACTCAGGGCTTCTGCTGGGCCGTTCTTATGTCCAGTTAAGAGTTGGCCTGGGACCTCGCCATGCAAACACCCTGCAGGCTCCGGTCGCCGAGATGGGGTGGAAGGCTGGGCAGAAGAGAGGCCGCAAAGGCCCGAGGGCTGAGCTGCTCCGCGCTGGGGAGGGGCCAGGTGCCAGAGGGCGGGAGACCTCGGGGTGGGCACCAGGTTGCTCCGCGGGGGGGCGGGGAAGGCCAGGGGATTCACGACTGCAGATGCCACTCTGGGGGAACCCTCCACTCCTAACAGGCGGTTCCCGGGAGCGGAAGCTCGGGAATTGGGTTTAGCACTTGTCAGCGCTTGGAACTGTGCATCCACGGCTGCGAGTCCGTTGAGGTCTTCTTGCTAGGGACTACGTTTCCCAGAAGGCTCGGCGGTACCTGACAGCTCTTTCAGCCTATGGACAGGGAAGAGTTCTAGTCATGGAAACTGAACAGCCAATAGCAAGAGGACAGGGGCGGTATGTTCCGGCTGCCGACTGTGGAAGCCGGAGTCCCACCTGTGTCCCCGCAGCCCTGTCACGAATCCTGGTCGAGTTCTGGGAGGGACGGCCTCGGGACGGCGGGCCGGGTGCGGCTCGGCGGTAGAGGCCTCACTTCCTTCTCCATCCCTGGCTGGGTCCTGGGGCGGTGAGTGATCCCGGGAGGGAGACTGCGGCGGCCGCGGCGCGCTGCTGAGGGGCGTGGACGGGGCTCGCCCGCCACCCGGACGTTTTCTCGGCGGGGTTCCAGCCCTGTCCTTTGGGAGCCTCCGGGTCTTTCTGGGGTGCGGGAGAGGTAGCCGCGGTTTCATTCCCGTCGTCGGGTTAAGTCACTCTCCATTGGCTTTCTGGCTTCTCGACGGTGGTCCGGGTTTCAGCTGACCTTTGTGACCCTCTAACCGCAGCACCCGGGTTCGGGCCTCAGCGCCGAGAAAAAGGGGGTCGGCCCCGCGCGTGCAGTCACGTTCCTGTTAATAAACCCGGGGAATGCCCTGCAGTTTCTCACAGTGGCGCTTAGTCACAGCCCCTCAGCGCTGGGGGCCTTTGGTGTCACCTGTGCATGGGGAAGGGGGCGGGCTTGGAAACAGGGCTGCTATGACCGTGGCTCAGAAGTCTTCCCTCCTCTGTGGCGCTGCTCCCGCAAGTGACCTTGCGGCTGTGTTTGGTCATAAATATAGAAATAAACATTATACTCAAAACTATTTTGTTTTGTTTTTGAGATGGAGTCTCGCTCTGTCGCCCAGGCTGGAGTGCAGTGGCCCGATCTCGGCTCTCTGCAACCTCTGCCTCCAAGGTTCAAGGGATTCTCCTGCTCTCAGCCTCCTGAGTAGCTGGGACTACAGGCATGTGCCACCACACCCGGCTAATTTTTGTGTTTTTAATAGAGACCGGATTTCGGTTGATCTCGAACTCTTGACCTCATGATCCGCCTGCCTCGGCCTCCCAAAGTGCCGGGATTACGGGCGTAAGCCATTGCGCCCGGCCGTTACTCAAAACTCATTACAATTTCTACTTTTGAATTACATTATTGTTGTTAAAGTTTTAAACCAGAGAGATGGTTTTTAGATCCTTAAAAACTCAATACTTTATAAATGACCTGACCAATAATAATGTCTGTAAATACATAAATATTTCCCCCAAAAGTGTGTGTGTGTGTGGTGCTTCGTTTGTGGTAAATAGGTGCTTTGTTGGTGGTGGGACAAAAGATGTGAAAGAGTAAAACTTCGCCCCATTCTTTTCCTTCCTCCTCTGAAATGCAATATGCTTTGTAGCAGGTGGTCATGCTGGCTGTTTTTTTGTTTTGTTTTGTTTTGTTTTGTTTTATGGAGACAAGGGTTTCACTCTGTTACTAGGCTCACTGCAGCCTGGCTTGAACTCCTGGGCTCAAGTGATCCTCCCACCTCAGCCTCCTGAGTAGCTGGGACCACAATTGCATGCCACCACACCTGGCTGATTTTTAAAAGTTCTTTGTAAAGAAAAGGGTCTCATTATGTTGCTGAGGCTGGTGTATTAGAAACTTTTTAAAGGAAAAAAACATTATCTTAATTTCTTTGTGACTCCTATGCCTAGCAGCTTATTGATTGCTGAATAAATGACTGATCCATCCAGTAATCGACTCTGATAATCCTCCAAAAAATAATTTTTTTGTGATACTGCTGTCAGTTTATTAATATATGAATGGTTGGTTTCAGCTTCTAAGCGTTGTGTTTTGTGCTTATCCCCATTGACTTTCAATTATTTTTATAACCTATCCATGTCTATTTTTTTTTAATTCTATATCTTTTTCAGTCTTATTTCTGACTCCATTAAAATCTTAAAATAGAACGGCATCCAACACAGTTTCCTTTGGAGTTCTGCATAATCTGTCCCTTGAGGTTGTCCCCAAATCTGCAAGCCAAGAAGTCAGCTATTCTCATAACTAATATGAGCATAGTTAAGTCCACGACTTCCTAGCTTGCTGAAGAAAATGTAGCTGGAGAGAATCAAAAGCTTTCCAGAAATCAAATTATTCCTGCCAATTCTCTCCTTTGTATACCTTGTTCATTGTGGACAATTGGTTCCTCAAAAAGTTAATGTATCTAAAAGACTGGGTTCTGTCTATGTGTTTGGGAGGCCTAGGTCTCTCTTAGTAATGGGAAAGTCGGCTAGGAGAAGACGTATGTAAAAACAGACAGAAAAGCAACCCTCTGTGGTTGACAGAATTTACCTCAGGACGATTCTGGTCAGGGGTGGGGTGTTGTTTATGTACACTGATGACCATTTTTTGGCTTTCAGACAATGGTGAGAATAGGGAGCTACTGATGCATATTGAGCTCTCTTGCTTTAGGAACTGATGACCCTCAATGATGTGGCTGGGGACTTCTGGGAAGAGTGGGTTACCTGGACACTGCTTAGAGAACCCTCTTCAGGGATGCCACCCAGCACAGTTAGAAGAATGGGCCCTCAAAGGGTAAGAATGCTACTCTCCTTTATTTTATGTATTTATTGTGTTTTTTGAGATGGGGTCTGGCTCTGTCATCCAGGCAGTGGTGAAATCTCAATTCATTGCAACCTATGCTTCTCGGTCTCAAGAGATTCTCCCACCTCAACCTCCTGAATAGCGGGGATCACGGGCATGTGCCATCATGCCCACCTAATGTTTTATATTTTTAGTGGAGACAGAACTTTGCTATGTTGGCCAGGCTGGTCTCAAACTTCTAAGCTCAAGTAATCAACTTGCCTCAGCCTTCCAAAAGTGCTGGGATTACAGGTGCCACCACGCTTGGCCACTACTCTCCTTTAATTTGAGACGTAGATATTTTGAGAGGGCCCAGGTCTGAGTGGTCTCTGGTATGTTGGTGTCTTAGAGCTCCAGACCTCTGTAAGATTAATTGTTGCTTCCTTGGCAGAAAAAGAATGACTTCTTTATGCATTTTATGGTTTGCAGACATCTTAGCTATTTATTGTCTTTTTAATATCTCATCTAAACTTTTTGATATATGTATTACTATCCTCCTTTTCCAGTCTGGGTTGGACTCTCACCTCTGCCACTTAACTTCTGAGGTCTTTGTGGAAAAGGAGGTAATTTTTTTCTTTCACTTAAAAACAAACAAACACCTCCAATTCTCTTTCTCAAATACCATGGCTACCCTTCCTCCTGCTTTACTTCTTTTGTATGTTTGTGTGTGTGTGTGTATGTGTGTGTGTAAGTCTTGCTCTGTCGCCCAGGCTGGAGTGTCATGGCATGATCTGAGCTCACTGCAACCTCCGCCTCCTGGGTTCAAGCAATTCCTGGATAATTTTTTGTATTTTTAGTAGAGATGGGGTTTTGCTATGTTGGCCAGGCTAGTCTTGAACTCCTGACCTCAAGTGATCCACCCACCTTGGCCTCCCAAAGTACTGAGATTACAGGCATGAGCGACTATGCCTGGCCCTAACATTTTGTGTTCTTAGTAGAATCGAGGTTTCACCATGTTGGCCAGGGTGGTCTCAAACTCTTGACTTCAGGTGATCCGCTGGCCTTGGCCTCCCCAAGTGCTGGGATTAGAGGCGTGAGCCACTGTGCCTGGCCTACTTCATTTATTTTACAAGTCATGTACACTTATTAAAGAAAAAGACAAGCAAAATGAAAACAAACGCCATCCCTAATCCTACCATTGAAGAGTTACTATCCTACCAGCATTTTTCTTTCTTTTTTTTTTGAGGCAGAGTTACGCTCCTGTTACCTACCAGCATTTTTCTAAGCATTTATACAATTTTAAAACAAGCACATAAGAATAATATTAGGATTATACTGTACAGTCAGCTGTAAATGCTACTTTCTTCCATGTTGTATTGTGAGTATATTTTGAAAATAATAAATTCTTTACATCACTTAAAATAACCACCTAGTATTTTGTTTTATGGAGTACAATATTATTTTGTTGATGAAGTCAAACATTAGATTGAACCATATATCTGACCATTTTTTACATAAATAGCAATTGCCTGTAGTCCCAGCTACTTGGGAGGCTGAGGCAGAAGGATCCCTTGGGCCCAGGAGTTTGCGGCTGGAGTGAGTTATATAATTATTGCTTTGTTGTGAGACATTTAGGTCATTTCTAAATTTTTACCATGGTTGTGATAAACATATTTTAGCTCATTTTTTAAAAAGTATTTTTAATTGAAATGTAATTTTATCATTTCCTTAGAATTCTCAGAATTATAATTGGTGGGTCAAAGAATAGATACATTTCTAAGGTATTTAATATTTTGCAAAATACCTTCCAAGAAGATTGAATCAGTTGATTTATCCCCATTAGCATTATATGAAAGTATCTTTCACAGTGGGTATTATAATTTAAGAGTCTGGGGCTGGCTGTGGTGGCTCACGCCTGTAATCCCAGCACTTTGGGAGGCTGAAGCAGGAGGACCACTTGAGCTCTGGAGTTCAAAGACCAGCCTGGGCAACATAATGAGACCCTGTCTCTACAAAAAATTACATTAGCCAGGTGTAGGGGCTTGTGCCTGTGGTCCCTGCTGCTTGGGAGCCTGAAGTGAGAGGATCGCTTGAGCCAGGAGCTTGAGGATGCAATGAACTGTGATTGTACCAGTACTCTCCAGGCTGGATGACAGAGCAAGAGCCTGTCTCACAAACAAACAAATATACACACAAAACACAGAAAAAGAGCCTGGGAAAAATGGCAAATAGCAATGATAGTTAATGTTTATTGAAGTCTTTTTTTTTTTTATTTTGTTTTTGGAGACGGAGCCTCACTCTGTCGCCCAGACTGGAGTGCAGTGGCGCAATCTTGGCTCACTGCAACCTCCATCTCCCAGTTTCAAGCAATTCTCCTGCCTCAGCCTCCAGAGTAGCTGGGATTGCAGGTGCGCACCACCGCACCTGGCTAATTTTTGCATTTTTAGTAGAGACAGGGTTTCTCCATGTTGGCCAGTCTGTTCTTGATCTCCTGGCCTCAAGTGATCCACCTGCCTTGGCTTCCCAAACTGCTGGGATTACAGCTGTGAGCTACTGCACCTGGCCAATGGATCTTATTCTTATCCCTATTTTATTGATGAAGACATTGAAACACTGAGGTTAAGTAACTTTCTTGAGGCCACACAGCTTGTAAGAGGCAGGATTATGACTCAAACCCAGGCAGTGTGACTCTTGAGTTTGCACTCATTACCTCTACACTACATTACCTCAGTATATCATTGCTGTAACTTGAATTTCTTTTATTATAGAGAGGTTAAACATTTTTCATATATTTACAGACTACTTAACAAGTGTTTGTATTTTTCTCATGGCTTTTTTGACTGATACCATTCTGGGAAAATTTTAAAGCCCAACTTTATAGTTAACGTCCTTCATTCTTTCTAAGGATGAGGTCGTGGCAGCTCTGTTCCTGATAAAATCCTCTCTGTATTTAGCTTTAGACTTATACATTCAGAAATAGTTATTGTATTTACTTCAAAGTTTCTGTCACCTGAGTCTGTTTTGTTTTTTTTAAATAAAAGGAAAGGGGCTTTTTTTTTTTCAGCTTTTGGGGAAATCACCCTGTTTTATCACTTTACCATGGCTGCACATTTAATGAGACCAAATACACATTAGAGTTCCCGGGGTGTTCTCCCCTACCTAGGCAGGGAGTAGGGCTTGGATTTTGGTCAGGCCTCCTGTGACTGGCTCAGACTCACATCCTGTGTTTACATTCCTGTGTAGAATTTCTAGACCTAGTGTAGTCTCCCAGCTGGAGCAGAAAGAAGAGGCATGGGTTCTACCACTCCAAAACTCTGAGGCGAGGAGGATCCTGAGGGAAAGCCACACAGGTGAGATGAGAGTGCTCCCAGTGGAAGGAAAGCTAGCATTTCAGCCTTGTTGAGATGAAGAATTTGGAATGCTGCCCTAGACTTTTCTTCTTACTAGCAGACATTTAAATTGGACTCAGTGGTCAGTAGTTGACTAAATAAAGTCTTCTTTTTTTTTTTTTTTTTTTTTTTGAGATGGAGTTTCGCTCTTGTTACCCAGGCTGGAGTGCAATAGCGCTATCTCGGCTCACCGCAACCTCCGCCTCCTGGGTTCAGGCAATTCTCCTGCCTCAGCCTCCTGAGTCGCTGGGATTACAGGCACGTGCCACCATGCCCAGCTAATTTCTTGTAGTTTTAGTAGAGACAGGGTTTCACCATGTTGACCAGGATGGTCTCGATCTCTCGACCTTGTGATGCACCCGCCTCGGCCTCCCAAAGTGCTAGGATTACAGGCGTGAGCCACCGCGCCCGGCCTAAGTCTTCATTTTTATTAAGCATTTCACTTTTGTCTAACCTATAACTTATTTATGTATGTATGTATGTATGTATTTATTTATTTATTTGAGACAGAGTCTCCTTCTGCCTCCCAGGCTGGAGTACAGTGACACGATCTTGGCTCACTGCAACCTCCGCCTCTAGGGTTTAAGCGATTCTCCTGCCTCCCGCTCCTGAGTAGCTGGGACTATAGGCATCTGCCACCATGACCAGCTAATTTTTGCATTTTTAGTAGAGATGGGGTTTCACCACATTGGCCAAGCTGACCTCAAATTCCTGACCTTAAATGATCCGCCTGCATCAGCCTTCCAAAGTGCTGGAATTACAGGCGTGAGCCACCACACCTGGCCTAAACCTAAAATATCTTCAAAAGAAAGTGCCCAATATTGACAATATGTGGTCTCTTCTTGAAGGATATCAAGATTCATCTGGCTATCTTAAAATCAAAAAAGTTTAGGAATTCACGTGTCCTGAAAGCTCAATGAACTTCAATAAACTTTTCACAAAACAAAAAGCAGAGCGGTTGAATTAAGTGCAGTCTGCTGCAGAAACAGCAATTTTAGTCTTTCTCACTGCTTTCTGATATTCCTTCCTGATAACTGATAACTTCATTCTCTGTTAATTACATTAATTTTTCAGGCTTTGAGCATCAGGTGGCAAAGCTCAATCAGGACATTTCTGAAACAGCAGAACAATATGGAACATCCTCAGAAAGGACCAATAAAGATCTCTCATAGTCTTGGTTGGGGAGGAAACTGGGAGAGAGGCCTAGAATTAGAAGAGCAACATGGAACCCTTCCAGGAGAGGGCCAGCTGGAGCCCTTTTCACAGGAGAGGGATTTAAACAAGCTCCTGGATGGATATGTAGGACAGAAGCCCATGTGTGGAGAATGCGGGAAAAGCTTTAACCAGAGTTCCTATCTCATAAGACACCTAAGAACCCATACTGGCGAGAGGCCCTATAAATGCACAGAGTGTGGGAAAGGCTTCAAACAGAGCTCAGACCTTGTCACCCATCGCAGAACACATACAGGAGAGAAGCCTTACCAATGCAAGGGGTGTGAGAAAAAGTTCAGCGACAGCTCAACACTCATCAAACATCAGAGAACCCACACAGGGGAGAGACCCTACCAGTGCGCAGAGTGTGGGAAGACTTTTGGGAGGAGGCCACATCTCGTAATGCACCAACGAATCCACACAGGTGAGAAGCCCTACACATGCCTGGAATGTCACAAAAGCTTCAGTCGAAGTTCAAATTTTATCACCCACCAGAGGACCCACACAGGCGTGAAGCCATACAGCTGTAATGACTGTGGGGAGAGTTTTAGCCAGAGCTCAGATTTGATTAAGCACCAACGAACCCACACGGGAGAACGGCCCTTCCAATGCCCGGAGTGCAGGAAGGGCTTCAGAGATAGTTCTCATTTTGTAGCTCACATGAGTACTCATTCAGGAGAAAGGCCTTTCAGTTGTCCCGACTGCCATAAAAGCTTCAGTCAGAGCTCACATTTGGTCACGCATCAGAGAACACACACAGGTGAGAGACCTTTTAAGTGTGAAAACTGTGGAAAAGGATTTGCTGACAGCTCTGCCCTCATTAAGCATCAACGAATCCACACAGGAGAAAGACCCTACAAATGTGGAGAGTGTGGGAAGAGCTTCAATCAGAGCTCCCACTTTATCACCCATCAGCGAATTCACTTAGGAGACAGGCCCTACCCATGTCCTGAGTGTGGCAAGACCTTCAATCAGCGTTCCCATTTCCTCACACACCAGAGAACGCACACAGGAGAAAAACCTTTCCACTGTAGTAAATGTGACAAGAGCTTCCGTCAGAAAGCACATCTTTTATGCCATCAAAACACCCATTTGATTTAGGACATAGTCTTCAGTGGTTCTGCTGCTCCCTTGCAAATTTTCACTGCTTCTGTCTTTGAGCACCCCACATAGAGAAAACCTGGTCATCAGCCGCTCACTTTGGGCCCTGATCTATTCTCCCTCTTTCTTTTCTATGTTATAACAGAGAGGATAAACTTAGAGTCCAAATAACGGTCTGAATACAACAGGCATTCCTGACTCTTAGTGAAATGTGAGTTTAATAGTTGATGCCAGCCAGGCGTGGTGGCTCATGCCTGTAATCCCAGCACTTTTGGGAGGTCAAGGCAGGTAGATCACTTGAGGTCAGGAGTTCGAGATCAGCCTGATCAACATGGCAAAACCCCATCTCTACTAAAAATACAAAAATTAGCCAGATGTGGTGGCCCATGCCTGTAGTCTCAGCTACTCGGGAGGCTGAAGCAGGAGAATTGCTTGAACCCAGGAGGTGTAGGTTGCAGTGAGCCCAGGACTGCACCATTGCAATCCAGCCTGGGCAACAGGGCAAGACTCCATCTCAACAACAACAAAAAAAGTTGATGCCTAGTTACTAAATGAGAAATGAGAGCAATGTGGCCTGAAGCTCACATGTAAACCACCTAGTACAGTGCCTGGCACAACGTAGATGCTCAGTAAATAAATAAATAGTCACATCATTATTCATGATTAATATTTGAGGTCTTAGATAAAGCCTTTAATGCAGTACCGGCCCTTAAAAGACACTCAATACAAGACTGGAGGCTTTTATCAGTCTTATTACTCAATTAGGAATTTATTAGTGTAGCTCCCACACCCTAAGTTCAGAACTTAAAGAAATTAGATTGGAACTAGAAGGTTTAGGGTTGGAAAACATGAATTGAATAAAATGTTAATGCACTCCCAGTTCAGTGCTGTGCAGGCATTAGTCACCAGATGTCTCACTGCCATGAAAAGGCAGAACTATCGTAGAGAATGTCTGCAGTCTTGTGACTAGGAGGCTGAAAGAATTACAGAGGCTCTTTGAACAGCAGTGTATGAGGTACTTTCACAGGAGGTTTGCTGTCATCTGACACAGAAAATACCCTACGATGAACAATCCAGAGGGACCTGGTAGAGGACTGTAGAATTGTGGAAGCAAATTGCTGAGAATGTCAAATTATATTACAGGGATCCTCCCTGGCATTTAGCTGAAGGAAGCACCTCTTATTTTCTTTTTTCTTTTTTTTTTGTTTTTTGTTTTTTACATGGACTCTCGCTCTGTTGCCAGGCTGGAGTGCAGTGGCGTGATCTCGGCTCACTGCAACTTCTGACTCCCTGGTTCAAGTGAATCTCCTGCCTCAGCTTCCCGAGTAGCTGTGATTACAGGCACGCGCCACCACACCCAGCTAACTTTTTGTATTTTTAGTAGAGACAGGGTTTTGGCTTGTTGGCAGGATGGTCTCAATCTCCTGACCTCATAATCTGCTCACCTCGGCCTCCCAAAGTACTGGGATTATAGCCATGAGCCACCGCCCCCCACCAACAATCCTTGTTTTCTAATTTCCTGGGTCATTGGCCATTTAGTTTTAGGTTAATATAATTCTCTGATCCTTTTAGGGCCATCCAGTTTATGTACTAGTACATTCCTACATTCAATTGAAATAAATTGAGGGAAGGCAGTGTGTTGGAAAGAACACTGACTTCACTGAGAAGGTAAAGCATTTGAGTCCTGGCCCTGAGACTTCATTTGGCCAGACTTACCTTCTCTCAGCCTCGAGTCACTACCTTACCTACCTCACAAGGTTGTTGTGAGGATCTAAAACACACAAGCACTTTGTTGGTAAACTATAAATGTAATGTCTCTAAAGTTTAATGTTACACTTCTGTTGCTAATGTCTTTTTTCTAAGAAAATTTTGGCTAATATTTCTTAAGGTATTCCATTTCTCTCATGGTGAGAGACTTTTTTTTTTAACTGTTGAAAAATTAAGGTTAAAAACGCCAAATGACATGACTCATCATGGGCCACGTAGTTGACAGAAGAGCCAGACTTAGCTGCAAGTCATTAGATTTCCAGCCCGCAGTCCTCCTCTGCAACAACAGACCAGCTCTGGGATTGTGACAGTGCCTGTGAGCCACTACAGGACCAGAGGACCCATATGATCTCCATTAAACCAGTCTGAATTTGGAAATGGTGGAGTGTGTCGTCTAAGTTCTAGGGAGCTTTGCAAGATCCTGTGCTGGCGTCCTTGATCCTGGGGGAATGGGAGTGGCTGAGTAAGTGCAGGTGCAAGGGATTAAGGAGGGACCAGGGTGGCTATCACTGTTTAGAGAGCAAAGTGGTGGGTTGAAGGTTTTTTCTTTTATTCTCTTCCGTTATATGGAATGCATCTGAGTATTGTGGCTCATGGAGGATAGCACTCAGCTGATAACCCTATCTCCATTTCTGAAAGCATCATTGGATAATGGACCAGAATTTTTTTTTTAGTTAATCCAGTGCAGTGGTTCTCAAACTGAGAGGCCAGAACGGTAGCATCAGCATCATCTAGGAACTTGTTAGAAATGCAGATTCAGCCAGGCCCAGTGGCACTTGCCTGTAATCCCAACACCCTGGGAGGCTAAGGCATTTGGATCACCTGAGGTCAGGAGTTCATTCGAGACCATCCTGGCCAGTAGGGTGAAATCCTGTCTCTACTAAAAATACAAAAATTACCCAGGTGTGGTGGCATGTGCCTGTAATCCCAGCTACTCGGGTGGCTGAGGCAGGAGAATATCTTGAACCCAGGAGGTGGAGGCTGCAGTGAGTCGAGGTCACACCTGGTCTCGAACTCCTGACCTCAGGTAATCCACCCACCTCAGCCTCCCAAAGTGCTGGGATTACAGGCGTGAGCCACTGATCCCAGCTACCTATCACTTTGTTATTCATGTTCAGCTATCATAAGATGTGAGCTCTTTTTGTTTGTTTTGAGACAAAGTCTTGCTCTATTGCCCAGACTGGAGTGCAGTGGCATGATCCTAGTTCACTGTAACCTCCACCTCCCAGGTTCAAGCAATTCTCCTGCCTCAGCCTCCCTAGTAGCTGGGATTACAGGCACATACCACCATACCTGGCTAATTTTGTATGTTTAGTCGAGATGGGGTTTCATCGTGTTGACCAGGTGGGTCCTGAACTCCTGACCTGAGGTGATCCACCTGCTTCAGCTTCTCAAAGTGCTGGGATTAAAGGCAAGAGCCACCATGCCTGGCCACCTATCACGTTGATTTTCATGTTGTTGAGCTATGGTAAAATGTGAACTCTGGAAGCGTAATGTGTGATTTGCTTTGTGGCCCCACCAGTCCCCTCTCTCCTCCCTGTCTTCCTGCCCATCCTCCCCAAGCCATGAGCAGGGAATATTTCAATGCTATTGCTGAGAGTGGAGGTAACCCTTTCCATAGTTTTCTTTTGTTTCTACCTCATGAATAGAGATTTGCTCTTGAATGTGCTCCACACATCCGTTCTTTCTCACTCCAAAATTGAGGTCATCACCAAACCCCATTAATTTTACCTCCCAGATTCCTCTTGAACCTGTCTTGTCACACCTGTCCATCTTCCCTGCCACTTTTCAGTCCCAAACAACCAGACTCCAAACTGATCTTCCTAATACTATTTTTGCTCTGAAAAAACTCAAAGAAACCAGAGTGATCTTTTAAAATCCTAAATCGGGCCGGGCTCACACCTGTAATCTCAGCACTTTGGGAGGCTGAGGCAGGCAGATCACCTGAGGTTGGGAGTTTGAGACCAGCCTGACCAACACAGAGAAACCCTGTCTCTACTAAAAATACAAAATTAGCTGGGTGTGGTGTCGCATACCTGTAATTCCAGCTACTCAGGAAGCTGAAACAGGAGAATCGCTTAAACCCGGGAGACGGAGGTTGCAGTGAGCCGAGATCGTGCCATTGCACTCCAGCCTGGGCAACAACAGGGAAACTACATCTCAAATAAATAAATAAGTGAAAGTAAAATCCTAAATTGAATCACATTACTTCTCAGCAGCTTTCCATTGCTTTTAGAATGAACACCCAAATCCTTACCCAGCCCTAAGAGACCCTTGTGGTTTTGTCCCCTCAGCCTCCAGCCTCTTCTGATGTCCCCTTCCCTCTCCCTTGCCTCACTCAGCACTCTTGAGTTCTCTGCTCCTTGGTCATGCCAAGGTTGTGCGCTCTTGATAGCCTTGGTACTAACTATTCCCTCGGCCCAGAATGTTCATCAACCAGACCTTTGCATTGCCTCATATTTGTCAACCAGGTTTCAGCCTAAACTCATCCTCAGGAAGACTTTCCTAACTATCCCATCTAAATTAGTCACCCTCCATCACATTATCCTTACACCTCCATCAGAGTCCTTACACCTGTCCGATAATTTATTAATTGATTTGTTTTTGGTAAATCCCACAAAAGGTGAGCCATTTTTCTTGTTTCCATTTTTTCCTTGGCACTTAAAACAGTGCCTGGCACACGGTGGGTGCTCAAGAAATGCTTACTGAATGGATTAATGAGTGCATGCCCACAGGCAAGGATCTCGTTCCACTGGAAAAGTAGCAGAGTGAGACAAAACTGGACAAGGGGGCAAAGGTCACACCAAGGAGGTTCTTAGCTGCCAAACTGGGGAGTTTGGATCTTACTCCCTGGGGAAAAGGGTGTGGCTGGTGGTTTTATAGGAGAGGAGAGGCGTGACCAGCACTCGAGAAGGTCAATTTGGCCGCTGGGTGTAGGTTATATTACAGAGAAAAAAACTGAAGGCTTTGAGACAATCCGTGATGTAAAGGGCTTAGCACAGTGCCTGGCATGTAGTGAGTCTCCAGCGATCCACTGTTATCAACAAGCACCTGGGAAGGCACCACAACAAAAAAAATCTCTAACCTTTCACCTCGAAATAATTCTTCTTAGACCCTATCATCACATTACTTCTCCACCCCTTTTGTCAAACTTCCACTCACAGGTAGGTATTCTCAGGGCTATCATGCTTAGGCCCTTTTAAATAGGACTACCTACCCTAGCATGCTTCTTCAACTGGACGCTGAAAGGTCTTTAGGGCTGAGCGTGATGGCTCACACCTGTAATCCCAGCACTTTGGGAGGCCAAAGCCAGAGGATTGCTTGAGCCCAGTAGTTCAAGACCAGCCTGGGCAACATAGGCAGACCCTGTCTCTACAAAAAATAATTTTAACAAATTAGCCAGGCATGGTGA